GCTCTCTCGTTTATTGACAGACTTGAGAATCCCCTTTCAGGAACCTGCGTATCTCTATTGTGACAACACAGCGGCTATACACATTGCTAACAATTCTGTGTTTCATGAGAGAACTAAGCATGTCGAGATTGATTGCTACAAGATCAGAGAAGCGGTTGATTCAGGTTTCCTCAAGACCATGTTTGTAAAATCTGGAAATCAACTCGCTGATGCACTGACCAAAGCTTTACATCCGGCTCCTTATCGAGAACTAATATCCAAGATGGGAGTTAGCAACATCTTTGCACCTCCATCTTGAGGGGGGCTATTAGATTGTATGTAGTATACTTCTTATATGTGTACATATGTTTTAGTTCCGGTTATTGATCTAATTATCTTTGGTTTAGTCGGTTATGGTTTGTATATATACTTTGTACCAAACGCTTGATTTAATAATGAGAATTCGAGTTTCACATTTCATCTCTCTCTCGTTTCTCTCGTTCATCTCTCAAAGCTGAAACACTAATATGTTTCAACTACATATATCTTTCCGTCTATAAAAGCAGACTCGGCGCTTTTCCTTGCTACCGTCATATCAGGCGCATCACGCCACGTGTGAGTCCGACAATCAAGCATACGAACGGCCGAGGAAGGCCGCTCCTCGCCTTTGATGGTTCCACCCATTTGGTAGGTTTCGAAACCGACGGCTAAAGTTGTCGAATTCTTTGGTAGAGGAAGATCAGAGGAAGCTGGTATTGTGATACGTCGTGATAAGCTAAACGTATCCTTAATCGTCGCCTTGGTAATTAGGGTTTGATCAAGAGCGTACCACCAATAATAATTAGTATGCGACTGTGGGCATATGTATAGGCAAGGCTCGGTGTTTCCGATCTCCGAGCGAACCGTGTAGAGCTCAGGGGAAGAGAGGAGAGAGCGGATGGTCTTGGAGACTAAGGAGAGAAAACGGTTGTGAGACCTGGAGATGCGAGCTAAACAATTCAGAATGATTTCATCTGGAAGTGATGTAAACGACAGAGGAGGAGGAGGAGGATTTGTTGTAGTATTCTGCTTCTTCTTCTTCCTTTTTTCTGCGGCGGTGGCTGCTTTACTTTCGTGGTTGCTAAGGCTCTTTTAGGTCTTGCATATAAGACCTTAAAGAGAGTCATGGGTGTTTCAATGGATGCCTAAATTATTTGACCAAATTTTCAATTTATATATAGATAGACAAGGTTGATTTCAATAAATGCAATGGGCTTATTCATTAATGGGTTCTCCAATAATATTGTTATTGAGTTGAGTTGTATTAGACGGGAAAAGATAGTTTTAAAGATTCAGATTTGAAAATTAAACCTTAAATATTCACACCTAATAACGAGATAGAACTATAGAAGATAACGCTAGAAGACAATGTTTTTTTTAGCACAAGAAGAGAGATGTGAGCCAACAAAACGCAGTCTCAAACATCAATTTTCAGGATATCAACAGTATTCTCAGTTTTGTGTCATTTAGATGAACTTTCAACAAGAGTAAACACACATCAGATGAATGGTATGAGTAAACATTGAGTTGTAAATGTATGTATGCCATCAAAAACGTCAAAGAAATCATACAAGAATAGCCCTAATTATTCTTGATCAGCAAGCAATTCAACTTTCATAAAAGATTTTTTTAAGTGCTGGTTAACCAAGAAACAGAAGAAAACAATATAGTGCAAAAACGAATCACACAAATTGATCCATGAGCAAGGGCCAAGGAGACAGGTGCTTTCAGTACTTGGGGTCACAAGGATGATTAAATTTGGACCTTACATACATAAAAGAGGCAAAAACACTTAGACAGGTGCTTTCAGTACTTGAATTCAGGCTTGAATCTTGCGACTCTTTGGAACTTTTACACGAAAATTTTTATCAATTAAAATACGAGATTTAAAGTAAGAATCGAATAGAGTAGACAACGTTTTCAAGCAACGCACAGTCGTAAGAGACAGATATCGAATGAGAGATACCTCGGGCCTGATCCATCTTCAAGAAGCTATGGCTATTGAAAATATAAGCGAAGAGGAGAAAGACGATGCAAACACCTGAGAAAGCGTGAATACGAAGAAATGAAGAAGAAACGTGTAGCATCCGTATCCGAGAAAATCTGAAATGATCGAGCCGGACAGGAGGTTGTCCGAAGGAATGTGAGTTCAGTCAAGGGAAAAATCCGTATGGATGGGAGGTTCAGACTATAGTCGATGGATGACTGGGAAATAGTCGAAGGATGGCCGGGCTGGCCGAGCAGGACGGACCATATCCGGGAGAAAAATGGATTATGTCCGAGAGGAAATGAATTATGTCCGAAAGAAATGGATCATGTCCGAGGGAAAAAGGGAAATAGCCGAGGCTTTGTGGTTTTAGCCGAGTAAAAGATGGGCTGGGCCCGCGGGCTGGGAGTTTGGTCGGATAAAAACTAATTTCTCGTGGGGATGGTCAAGCGGTTTAGGCGATATCCGAGAGAAATCAAAGCTGACTGGGATAAACCTGACTGGAACCGGGAGACGCCGGCTATAACCGGGTTAACTAGGTTTTGCGAGCATATAAAAGGGATTTTGAGACTTTTTCTCGAGACAGCCGCATTATTTGAGAGAAATATCGTGTGAGAGAGAGATTGGTCGAGAGAAATCCCATAGTTTCTGATTATCCCGAGAGTTGGCCGAGAGAGATCGAAGTTTCGCCGGCGATTCCGACTATCACCGAGAGATCGAGCGTTCTGTCCGAGTTTCTGTGGATCTGTTCCGACCATTCGTCCTGATTTGAGGGTTTGCCGAGGGAATAACAGAGTTTATCCGAGGATTTCTGAGCAGATCGTGTGATATCCGAGAGCACTTCGATTCGTCCGAGTGAATCTTGTAAGTGTTCGGCTATTCTGATTTCTGTTGAGTTTCTGTCGAGTAACTTTGGACTGATCGATCTGAATTATACTGTTTCCGAAGGAATACAGCTTCTTGCCCGAGAAAAAGTGACCGGGTTGAGAGATAGCCGAGAGGTGTGGAGTTTTAGCCGGACCAGTCTGAGCGATAGCCGAGAAATCGCAAGTGTGTCCGAGTATCTCAGTTCTGATCGAGAAATCACCGAGATTCTTTCGACTGAAACGTTTGTTTCTGTGTCTAAGGTGAGTGCGTGACTGTAGTCTGTATCTAGAATCGTTGGATTGCTAGATTATCTGATTTTCATTGATTGTTTGTGTAAGTTAGTGGTTTCTGCTTAGCAAGGTCAATGTTTATGTGATTGTGAATGGTTAAGTGTGAACCGTGGTCAATACATGATGTCTAACTAGCTGTGTGAATGTCCGGATCGAGTTACTAGCTCAAGGGGATGTGTGAATCTCGCTTGGAGTAGTACCGATGCCTTGAGAGGCTTCACAAGTAGTTGAGATGATCATAGGACCGTACTGTTTTCTGTGCTTGCTTGCTAAGTGATAATGTGAATTGTATAACTGATAGTATGATGCGTTTTCTGGTACTGGCTAAGGTGTTACGGGATGACCGTATTCACTAAGTATTTATCAAATACTTATGTCTCTCTGTTTGAGTGTGCAGGTAAGGATAAAGTCCAGGGCGAGTAGCTCTGAAGGCGGATTGGAAGGCAGTGAAAGAAAGGGGTGGATTAGGACTGGGTTTTGGGATTCATATTCTGAGTTTTAGTTTCTATTTAAGTACTTGTGTTAGTGCCTTATAAGTTAATCCGAAACTGCTAAGTTAGTTTGTTATTGAATCTGAATTCTGTTAAGTGTTTCTGGAATAATTATGCAATGAGAATGGATGTTTTTTGATGAATCGAACTTGTTTAAGTTTAAGAAAAGTTTTTAAAATATGCATGTTTTTGTATTCTGGCCGAAAGAAAACTCGGTGAGATTCAGGCTGGTCTAGTGATAGACGGTCGGATCTTCACAAAACGATTTGCAGGCGACGAGAGAAAAACCCTTATTAGTTATCACTGACCCAAGTCCTCTCTTTCGTCTATCCATTTCAAAGCTCAGAAAACGGGACGCTGTTCTGATCTGCAATTACCAATTTGTGTACAATCCAATAAGACTGCGTGCCGTTTTCTTGTTTACCTGATAGATCAGCGCTTTGACGAATTTTACAAATTTGCCCTTCAAATTTGTGGACTTTTCTCACGTCTTCATTCGCATAATTTTGCATGAGATTTTGATGGAAAATTTAGTGCTTTAATTCGTATAGACAACAAAACAAACCTCATTAATTTTCTTGAATTATCTTATAACTCCACATTTTACATCCAAACATTCATGAACTTCCCTTGCTTTTCTGAATTATTTTAATGAAATGTGATAAAGATAATAACAGTTATATATTGATGTAGATTTTCAGTTATAATCTAATCGGAATAGATTTTGTATCTTTCGTAATTTGTTTTTTTAGAAAATCTGCGGAATAAATTAATCTGCATGAGGTTACAAAAGGTAAAAAATGACTGGTATTTTTATCTTTCCAAGACACTATGCATGACGATAGAGCAATAAGGCAGTAACGCCAACGAAAATGTGAGATTCCAAAATTTATGGTTAGCTTGGATTTAATCATCTTTTCATTTGAGTTACAATAAAGTATCTATATTCTGCTGTTGTTGTTGTTGTAAGCTGTTGTTACGTGTTACTTGTAAATTGAAATTTACATCCTAAATTAGTAATTGGATTAACAAGTAATAAATGATATTTTGGTCAATAGATAGAACAAAATAAAAATCAATAACTGATATTTCGGTCAATAATAGCAAAACACTTTACATTAGGCCACCCCGAAATTAATGCAATTTGAAAAAAAGCATTGACTTTACCAATAATCTCCACGCCAAAAGACAGGGAAAATACAAAGAACCCTAAGCAATATAACCGTAATTAGATAACATACAACACAACATCCCCATGAAAGGCTTCCCTGTACAGCTCATGACTATATTATGAAACTTAAAACGAACTAACCTGTCGTAATGTAACAAACAACCTACACATTCTTTCTATTTTTGATTAACTAAAAGGTCATCAAAAAGGATGAAAACAGTGAAATTAAGTTGTATAAATGAATTTAGAAAAACTCAGTTTTTGTCATTGCAAGGCACAAATTTAACAACGTTTTCTTGTTGTTGTTGTGCGTTCTCCTCCATCACCTTGAAAAAGAATTGTTTTGGCTCTTAAACATATATTTTGATTGCTCTTAAAAATCCTCACAATACCTTTTGTGTGTCACCTTTTCCCTCTCCCTCTCAGTTTCAATCTCTGTTTGGTAGGCTTTGAATATTAGTTCTTGAGAGAATCAATATCAGAAGAATTGAAGAAAGCGTCAAATAACATGGGGAAAGATCAATTATCTCCTAGCGAGGCTGCTTCCGCAAAGCAAAAGAAAGTGGACGATTGGTTGCCGATAACATCCTCTAGAAACGCCAAATGGTGGTACTCTGCGTTTCACAATGTCACTGCCATGGTTGGTGCTGGTGTACTCAGCTTGCCCTACGCCATGTCCAACCTTGGATGGTATATATACTGATATACACAATCTCTCTCATTTTGATTAAAATTTGTATAAGATCTCACAAGAAAAAACTCTAGTTATATCGAACACACACTGTATCTATACGTTCACTTTTGAGACTCCCCTCTCTAGATAATTAATTACTCTAACATATAATGTTCTAATTAGTGATTGGTTTATATAATTTTGATGGCAGGGGACCTGGAGTGACAGTATTGTTAATGTCATGGCTGATAACGTTTTACACAATATGGCAAATGGTGGAGATGCACGAGATGGTTCCAGGGAAGAGGTTCGATAGGTACCACGAGCTAGGTCAGCACGCGTTTGGGGAGAAGCTTGGACTGTGGATTGTGGTGCCACAACAGCTTATCGTTGAAGTTGGTGTCAACATTGTGTATATGGTGACTGGAGGGAAGTCATTGAAAAAGATCCATGACCTTCTTTGCACAGATTGCAAAAACGTAAGAACTACGTTTTGGATCATGATCTTCGCTTCCGTACACTTTGTTATCTCTCACCTTCCTAATTTCAACTCCATCTCTGTTGTCTCCCTCGCGGCAGCCGTTATGTCATTGAGGTAAGTCCAAATTCATACATATAATAATGACAAATTTCATCAAAACGATCAAAATTGATTATATATTTTTGTTTTGTGAATTTTCAATGATTCATCTCAACTCAGATTCATGTTTAGGATTTCATCATATTCATTATAATATCAAACATGTTAAAAAAATGGGGTTTTTAACTCAAAATTAATTGATAATCAATGGATTTGTTGATCTTGCTCAGATCATCTCCATTAATGGTCTCTCACCAATTGTTTTTTTATTTGTGAAAAGCAAAAAAAAAAAAATTTATTAATTGAATCAATATCTCAATTAAATATTTGAAAAGACCCACCCAAAAATGTCACAAATTATGCGACATAGTGACTGTTTATGATATAACTTGTATTTAATGTGAGATTTTTTAATTAATATGAACTTTGGCTGTAATATATGTAGCTACTCGACAATCGCATGGGGAGCCTCGGTGAAGAAAGGAGTACAACCAGATGTAGACTACTCGTTTAGAGCCACGACGAGCTCAGGGAAAGTATTCAACTTTTTGAACGCACTAGGAGATGTCGCATTTGCTTATGCAGGTCACAATGTTGTGTTGGAGATTCAAGCTACTATTCCTTCAACCCCTGAGAAACCATCTAAGATTGCAATGTGGAAAGGAGTGGTGGTTGCCTACATCGTCGTCGCACTCTGCTATTTCCCCGTAGCATTCGTTTGCTACTACGTTTTTGGAAACAGTGTGGACGACAACATTCTCATGTCCTTGGAGAATCCCACTTGGCTTATCGTTGTGGCTAACGCGTTCGTCGTTATCCATGTTATTGGAAGCTATCAGATATTCGCAATGCCCGTTTTTGATATGCTCGAAACGTTTTTGGTTAAGCAATTGATGTTTGATCCTTCCTTCAAACTCCGTTTCATCACAAGAACTCTATACGTTGGTAAGTTTTTTTTTTGTTTTTAAAGATTGAATCAATACTCTTTTTTACGTAACAAAAAATCTGAATATATTATAACATTGGACTTTGATGGAACAGCTTTAACCATGTTCATTGCTATATGCATTCCGTTTTTCGGTGGATTACTCGGCTTTTTTGGAGGATTCGCCTTTGCCCCAACAACTTACTACGTAAGTATATTCGACACACATAATTATAATCTATATTATTATATTTCAAAGAAACTCTAATAATTATGTGAACCATCTTAATTTTATTAACCCTATGATATTAGCTACCATGCATCATGTGGTTGATTCTCAAGAAACCAAAGAAGTACGGATTGTCTTGGTCTCTTAACTGGGTAAGTTCCTTTTTTACGTACATAATCTAGAACATGTGTCTTTTTAAAAGTTTTATTAAATTTTGACAATAAGTTGTTGTTTCTGGTTGTGTGAAAACTGCAGTTCTGCATAGTAGTAGGTGTTATATTGACGATTGTAGCTCCCATTGGTGGTCTCAGAAACATCATTGTCTCTGCCAAAGGCTACAAGTTCTTCTCTTGAAACTATCACCCTCTGGCTTCATGTGTTCATGTGGAATATAGACACGTGCATGTTAAGAGCTTCCAAATGTAACACCAAGGTTTAATATAAAAAACATGATTGAATGCTCTGCCTCTATGAGTTTATTATCTATTGTTGTTGTATATGTATCTTTTATAAATAAATTACATAAAATTTTCTGAAAACAAAGGTCTATTTGGATATGCATGTGATGAAATAGAAAAAAGGTTTGGTTTAAATAAACAAAAATCTCAAACCGTCAAATAACACTAGCATATTCTCCTCGGTTTTAAAGTTTGAAGGCCCATTCACGATTATGGCCCATTAAACAAGACAATAGCCATCCCGCCCAAACTGAGTAATTTTCCCGCCACTTTCCCTTCGTCTTCTCCAGTCGCCACAGCAAGTCTCTCTCTAGAAACGCAGAGAGACAGGGAGGAGGGAGAGAGAGAAGTTGAAAGAACAATGGCGACAGATGAAGAGATAAAGAGGGAATTCGAGCGTATTGGCTTTTCACTTGTGGAAGAAGAGGAGATTCTCAAGAGATGTAAGCGACAGTAAACCTAATTTCATTCTCCCGGATCTTGCGTCGTTCTCCAAATCACAAAATTTTAGTTTTGTTTTTGTCTAACTTAATTGGGTTTTGGTAGGTGTTACTCTCTGCATAAACTACAGCCTGAAGCCTTCTGAACTCGTTTCAAGTTGGGAACTTTATCATCTCAATCGGTAAATCTTCATTTCTCTCCCTATTTTCCTTCGCCATCCCAAATTGCTCCGATTCAAAGTAAAAATCGATCCTTTATAGCTTAACAACAGCGAGAATTTCATGGGTTTGCGATTAAGTAGTAGTAACTTCATGTTTATAGTGGTGTGATTGTGCTATTGGTGAAGGAGATGTGCAACAAGAAACTCTTTTTCTTATGGAAAAAAAACTCTTCCTTTGTGTGTGTTTGGATGCAACAGACAAAGTATTGATCAAACTGTGAAAAAGGATGAGTTGGATGGGTTTCTACTGCATCTTCAGAACCAACAGAAAGAGGCTATTATGAAAGAGGAATCTGATTTGCATATCTACTCAAACAGAGATGTCGACATGTAAGTGCTTTTATAATCAGATTTCGTCTTTATTGCATCAACTTTTAGTCTGAAGACATACAAATGGCTTTGATCCAGGCTTTTGGACGGGATTACTGAAGACACAACAGACGAGGTTGTCACTACACCTACAAACAAGTCTCAGCGGCTACATCCGGATCCCTTTGATTCAATAAGCAGATCAAAAGACTACGGATACTCTACTGCGAAGTCAGCTGGACACGTGACACCTTTTGGGCGAAGAGTCGACAAGTTTAAGGTGAAATTGAGCGTAGGTAACGTGGCGGCACAGGCAGAGAATGGACATAACAATGATGTAGAAAACAGTGAGGATGATATGATCATCAAGAGAGTTCAAACAAGCCAGAGGTGTTCTCTGAAAGTCAATGGCTCAGGTCCTGAACCGGGTTGCAGATTCATGTATGACAGAACTGAAGACAGGTTTAATGCTGTTGAGAACCGGATCGTAAGGCATGCAGATGCACTTGTTGCGTCGGGGTTATATGAAGAACAGGTGGATCCTGCTGTTGCTTCACAGGTAGCCTTGATTTTCACACTGCTTTGGTGTCAAATAAGTTTGAGATTTGGGGTTTAGAGTTTGCTTACAATGTGCTACGGATTGCTTCAGGGAAGTATATTTGCTGTGGGAATGATTTGTTGTGATGGAGAGGGGCATTTGAATGACAAGTCCATTCTATTGCAGAGCAGGTAACTCAACTATGGCTTCACTTCTCTTTGTATGTTATTGCAATTTCGACTGTTGAATGGTATGAAGGATAGTGTGAGTTCCGTTTTATTACAAGTTGCATAGTCGGATGCATAAACGTTTTTTTTGAAAATTTGGATACCAGAATAACTTAATACAGATACTGAACCTGGACACTGTGATTATAGTTAGTTAATGGCATAACTTTGATTCAAACATGAAGCACCTCAACAATGAATATCATAATGCCAACAAATTCTATGATTGCAGTGCCGGGCGTACTTCAGGACAGCGTGTTCCACTGGACTTGAACAGACTAAATCAGTTCTCCATTTTTCCTGGCCAGGTGATAGCTCAAACCTAACAAACCTCAGGTTTTGTGTTTTTTTTTTTCCACAGAAGACTCATAATATTCATGTGGAGGTGGTCTGAATTTGATGCAGATAGTTGGCATTGAGGGACAAAATCCCAGTGGACATTATCTCACTGCATCCAAACTAGTAGATTTAGTTCCCTTAACAGTTACTACTGACGTGGATCTACCTCCTGCTAAGAAGCAAAACTTGGATCCGGAGGTCTTGACTCTTGCAGATGAATCCCGTGAAAAATCAGAGGTTTCATTTGTAAGTAAACGATCTTTCATCTCAAGGGACCTATTTTTGCATTGTCTTCAAGAAAGCCATTGATTCTTTTGCCCATTTCTTTCTTATTATTCTGGCTCATATATTTCCTGCATCTAGCATGGCATATATAGATACCATTGATAAAAATGATGAGATGATGGAAATGCAAATTGTTGAGAAATTTAGAGACCACAAAGCTGTTTTGGTTAGCTAGGTTGGTAACTCGAAAGACTGGATCTTCTATAGTTACTGGATTTTGCTAGGACAAATCAGTATTCTTTTTTTTAGGTAGCATCATAATTTTCTAGTCTGGGATTCAATTTAATGCTTAAGGGTCTTCTTCATGTTGACAGATAGTTGCATCCGGACCATTCACCACATCAGACAACTTGCTGTTTGAGCCACTGAATGAGCTACTAGCCTATGCAAAAAGAAAGCCACCACAGTTACTCGTCCTGGTGAGTGACCAAGATTCATTCAGACCTTCTGTAGACTACAAGTGTCGTTTGTGATTGTGTCTTGGGGTCACTTACGGTTTTTTCGCAAACTCAGCTTGGACCGTTTGTGGATTCTGAGCATCCAGAGATTAAGAAAGGAACTGTTGATGCCACCTTTGATGAGATATTCCAAGTTGAAGTCCTCAGGAAGGTACCGAAAATAGAACAATAGATATATTGAACAATGACTGACTTTGGAATAAACAAGGATCTTTTATGTGGTTTTGAGTTTATCAGTTGCAAGATTATGTGGAATTCATGGGTTCAGAAGTACGAGTGGTTCTGGTGCCATCTATTCGTGACGCTAATCATGATTTCATATTCCCACAGGTGCTCTTTTCTTTTCCTCTCAAACTCTCTCTCTTCTCACTTTTACGCATTTCTCCTCTATTTTTTGACCTGAGAGAGTTTCTCCCCTTGTGTTGGTAGCCTCGTTTCGACGTTCACATACCTGATCTCGAACATCAGGTACTTGCTTTTTCTCATTAACCAGTCTTCATTTCATAACTCAAACTCTCCGTGAACATGCGCATATACTAACTACATTCTCTTCTCTTTCTTCTCCCATAAATACAGTTGACCAGTCTGTCAAACCCGGGGACCTTCGAGGCAAACCAGGTAAAAAAATCTCTGTGACAATTCTCTTCTCAGAAGCCATATTCTCTCTACTCTCAAAGTCTTAACAACATAAACATTATTCAGGTGAAGGTAGGTTGCTGCACAGTGGATGTACTAAAACACCTGAGTGGGGAGGAGATGTCGAAAAATCCAAGTGGAGTCCCCATTGATCGCATGTCCAGACTCGCTAGCCATCTCCTTCGTCAGCGAAGGTACAGCACTGTAACGTCCTGTCCCAACTATTTTCTCAAAGATCAAACACTAAAAAAAAAAGTGTATTGTAAACTGAAACAGTTTCTATCCTCTGTATCCACCTCCGGAAAGCCTCCCTTATGATTCTTCACTCTCTCCTAAAGCTCTACAGATTTCATCAATCCCAGATATTCTCCTGCTTCCATCAGACATGAGGTACTTCGTGAAGGTAAGTCCGTATGTTAATAATGGCATCACCAAATTAAGAAGCTAAGAGAAGTTGTGTTATGATGTGAGTTGCTGAATATTTCTTCCTGATTGTTGTCATGTGTGAAGGTTTTGTCTCTTGGGGAAGGGGAAGATGCAGCCAAGTGTGTGTGTGTAAACCCTGGAAGACTTGCGAAAGGAGAAGGTGCAGGTACTTTTGTCGAGCTTACCTATAAAGGCGGCCCAGAGTCGATGCACGCTTCCATCATCTCTATTTAAAACAGAACATGTGCAATGTTTGGTAGCTCTCTGCTCCATTTTAAAAGATTGGGGCTTTTTTGTTAGAAGCACCAAAATTCAGGGGGTTTATTTGTAACTATTGTTTTATATATATTAAAAGTGTTTTTCCTCTTTCTTGTGTGAGACGGACGATCTCACAGAGACATCGAGGAGTAAAGGGTTCTAGGGTTTAAAATTAAACATGCTGGAATCCGAACCTTCTCCAAAAATACAAAGCTGCGAAGACAGAATTAGTGCGTTGTCCGACGATTTACTCATGGAAATACTATTGCTTGTTCCGACAAAAGATGCAGTGTCCACCACGTTTTTGTCTAAACGGTGGCGATTTGTCTGTAGAAAGTTGCCTAGGCTTGAATACAGAGAAACTGACGTAAAAAGCAAGAGTGTTTGGTGGTTTCTTGACGAATCAATGCGACTTCACAATTTGTCTTCATTACAAAAGTTGTGTATTAAACTCGGTCCACGGTGTCCCGTCGATGTTGATGTTGTAGAGTGGGTTGCAAAAGCAGTTGATGGTTCCGTGCTCCGTAAACTAAAGTTCAGGCTCCTCTGGGAAAGCGATCCGGTCACAATGCCTAATAGCCTTTACACTTGCAAAACGCTCACCAAATTGACTCTCTCCTACAAGATTCTTGTGGATGTTCCTTGTCTTGTCTATCTCCCATCACTTAACCGACTTGATCTTCAATATGTTGTGTACAAAGACGAAGATTCTCATGTCAGGCTTTTATCAGGTTGCCCGGTTCTCGAATATCTTGTTGTGCTTCGAGATGATGATCATGTGATGAAGTTCACTGTGAAAGTGCCTTCTTTACTGAGTTTAACGTATACAACTGGTGCGTTAAGTCAAAGAGACGGTAATGATCGATCTTTGGTTATAGACACCCCGAATTTAACGTATTTAGACATCTTTGACTGTTCGAGACACTCTTGCTCGATTGAGTATATGCCTCGTCTTAAGAAGGCATGGATGAATCCTTCGACTCACCCTGGTGAAAATTTTCTGAAATCTCTTTCTACGATCGAGTATCTTAAGCTATCTCAACTTTATACATTGGTTCCATGGTGTAACGTCGTTTTTTCTCTACTTATAGAATGTCGCTTATGTCCATATTACGCGGACTGGTGTGAATCACTTGGGGTTTTACTCTCTAATTGTCCTAAACTAAAAGTTTTGATGGTCGACTCCACATATGAGGCTGGTTTTCCGGTATTATGGAAATGGAACCAACCGAGTTCTGTTTCCGAATGCTTGTCGTCTCATCTCGAGATCTTTAGATGGCAATGGTATGCAGGAAGAGAATATCAAACAAAAGTCATAAGATACATTCTTAAAAACTCCAAGTGTTTGAAGAAGGCGGAAATCTCGCTGAAATCAATCGGGAATCTTGAAGAGGAACAGAAGAAGATGATCGAGGACTTACAATCTATGTCTAGGGTTTCAACTTGTATTTTGCTGGCCGGTCCAAGGTTTTAGGATGTCCTAAATTAGATAGAAAAAAAATATGTGTGAACCTTTTTCATATGTTTTCATTACTGTCAGCCTTTTTTTTTAATTAGACAACTCTCCTAATACTGTATGTTGTTATTGACAATTTCGCATAATGTTCAATAATTGTTGTCTACTAGGTATTAACCCGCGCTACGCTGCAGAATATTCTTCGACATTTTGTATATATTTTTATATAATAAATTATTTTTATAATAGAAATGGATATTATATTTATTTTTTATTAGCTTAAGTTATGTATTTATATGTTTTAAATCTGAATAAACATTATATATCCTTAATTTTTTTATTTTTTAAAAGTATAATTTAATATCAAATTTGTTTAGCTAACTATTTATAAATTTATATGTAAGAATAAAACAATACATTTTTAAGTACCTTCATGCTAATGGCAAATGTAATTTATTTTCTCTACTAAATTGCCACTTGATCGTCCTTTAAAATTATATAAAGCAAATTACCATTTAAAAAAAAATTATTAATTAATATAATTATGTTGAATTAGAAAATTTATTTATTTATTAAATATTTATTATAAACATATGTTTCTAAAACTACCAAACTATAATCAATAACATTCATATCAAAACCATTGCTATTGCTTTAGAACTAAATAGAAAGTTCTGTTTGAACTATTGAAATATCATTTTAGTTGAAGTTAAATAATTTAATTTTGGTTACTATAAACATATTGTAATTTAAAAAATTAGTACAGAGAAATTTTTATCTTTTTATAAAAACAGAAAAAATTGCATTTTCTGACAAAACAAAAAAAATCCAGTTTCCCGCGAGAACCTGTGTTCCTGCCAAAACAAAGAAATCAAGGTTTTTCACCAAAACAAAAAAAAACTTCATCTTCTAGCAAAACCAAAAATCGTATTTTCCCGTCAAAACTAAAAAAAAAAATATTTTTTCGTAAAAACCGAGAAATCGTCTATTTCTGCCAAAACAAAAAAAAAAAAATCTTCTTCTCGTCAAACCAAGAATCACGTCTTCCTACCAAAACCGATAAACTACAATTTTTCGCGAAAACAAAAAATTGCATTACCTGAGAAATTGTGTTTCCCGCGAAAACTAACAAATCGTATTTTCCCGCGAAAACCAAAATATCACTATATATGTCAAAAACTGAAAATTTGTATTTCCTATCAAAACCGTGAAATTGTTTATTCCCGCCCAAAATCGAAAAATTTTGTTTTCCCATGAAACCGAGAAATTGCATTTTCCGCCAAAATTATCAAATTACAATTCTCGTGAAAATCAAAAGATCACATTATCCATCAAAAGCCAAAAATTTGCATTTCCTATCAAAACTGAGAAATCGTATTTTTTGTCAAAATTGAAAAGTTGCATTTGCCTCGCATTTTCTCGTCAAAACTAAGATATTTTTTTTCGTGTCAAAATCAAAAAAAAATTTCTCACCAAACCAAAAATTCATATTTTTCCGCAAAACCCGATAATTCGTTTTTTTCCGCCCTAACCGAAAAATTATGTTTTTCTACCAAAACTGAAAATTATATTTTCCTACCGAAACAAAGAAATTCTTTATTCCCGTCAAACCCAAGAAAATATGTTCTCGGTAAGCACCGGAAATGCAAATCTCCAAGCTGTGGTGGTCTGAGCTTCTCCTCATTTGCTTTTGACTTCCATTTTTTTTTTGAACTTTGGACTTTTTAACGGGTCAGCAAAATAGTAAACTGATTTTATTAGTGTGTTAATGATATGTATTATTGTTATGTTTTTATTGGTTCAAATTTTTGCTGATGTGTGAGCTTCTTATAACATAATGTTTTTTGCGTTGTTGTTATGGAAACATATTTGATGATGAATCTATACTTTCTTCAATCATATACGTCTCTACCAAGCAAACACATAGTTAGAAATTTTAATTTTTTTTTGCTGTTATTTATTATTTGAATTTCAGTTTGGCAAAAAAATAAAACAAATATTTAATTTATTTTATTTGTTGTTATTTATTATTTATATTTGGGGATAGTAAAACATAAAACAATTTTTTTTATCTGCTGTTATTTATTATTTGGGCTTGAGTTTGGCAAGAAAAAACAAAGATTAACAAAGAAAAATATTTGGGTTTTTAATGAGTTTAAGTTAAAAATAATAAAAGTTAGTAAATGATGTGTATTAATAAAATGTTTTGATTGATGTTTTTTTTGCTGAGGTGTCAGCTTTATAATGTTTGAAAATGCTGATGTGTCAAACTATGGAGAGACACTTGTGTTATTGTTGTGTTGATTCCAAGTGTCTTCTTAGGTGGTGTATTCTCAAATCTTCCAATTCTTTCTTTTCTAGAAAGGCTTGGTGAAGATTGTATTATGTTTATGGTCAAAGAAATCCTTCATACTAATCATTCTCGTCAAATTGTTTTTAAATCATTGGTTTTCTAATATGTTAGATCAATACTGAATGACATATGATACCTTCACAGAAACTGTTTTTAAATCATTGGTTTTATAATGTAAATAAATATTTTATTTTATTTTTTTATTAGCTTAAGTTATGTATTTATATGTTTTAAATCTGAATAAACATTATAAATCTTTAGTTTTTTATTTTTCAAAATTACAATCTACTATCAAAATTGTTTAGCTAACTATCTATAAATGTATATGTAAGAGTAAAACAATACATTTTTAAGTACCTTTCATACTAATGGCAAATATAATTTATTTTTTCTACTAAATTACCACTTAATCCTCTTTTGAAATTATATAAAGCAAATTGCCATTTAAGAAAAATAATTATTAATTAATATGATTATTTTGAATTATAAAATTTATTTATTTATCAAATATTTATTATAAACATATGTTTCTAAAACTACCAAACTATAATCAATAACATTCATATCAAAACCATTGTTATTGCTTTAAAACTAAATAGAAAGTTCTGTTTGAACTGTTGAAATATTAATTTAGTTGAAGTTAAATAATTCAATTTTGGTTACTATAAACATATTGTAACTTGAAAATTTAGCACAGAGAAATTTTATCTTTTTACAAAAACTGAGAAATTGCATTTTTCGACAAAACAAAAAGATTACATTTTCCCACGAAACTGAGAAATTGTCTATTCCCGCCGAAACCAAAAAAAAATCATTTTCTCGTCAAACCTGAAATTTCATTTTCCTACAAAAACAAAAAAAAATTGCATTTTCTCGCAAAAACAAAAAAATCACATTTTCCCACGAGAACATGTGTTTTCATGCAAAAACAGAGAAATCAAGTTTTCACCAAAACCAAAAAAATTCATTTTCCTACAAAAACAAAAAAAAATCGTATTTTCCCGTCAAAACCGAAAAAATATTTTCCCGCAAAAATTGAGAAATCGTCTATTTCCGCCAAAACAAAAAACAAATTATTTTTCTGGTCAAACCAAGAATCACGCATTCCTACCAAAACTGATAAACCACAATTTCCTGCAAAAACCAAAATTTGCATTATCTCTTGAGAAATTGTGTTTCCCGCGAAAACTAAAAAATTGCATTTTTCCGTAAAAACCAAAAAATCACATTATATGTCAAAAACTGAAAATTTGCATTTCCCATCAAAACCGAGAAATTGTTTATTCCCGCCAAAATCAAAAAAATTTGTTTTCCCATCAAACCGAGAAATTACATTTTCGCCAAAATTGTCAAATTACAATTTCCCGTGAAAACTAAGAAATCATATTATCCCACGAAAATCAAGAAATCACATTATCCATCAAAAGCCGAAAATTTGCATTTCCTATCAAAACCAAGAAATCGTATTTTTCGTCGTATTTTCTCGTCAAAACTAAGATATTTTGTTTTCACGTCAAAATCAAAATTTTTTTATCATCAAAACCAAAAATTCATATTTTTCTGCCAAACCCGAGAATTCATTTTTTCGCCATAACCGAGAAATTATGTTTTCCTACCAAAACTGAAAATCACATTTTCTTAACGAAACCAAGAAATTCACTATTCCCGCCAAACCCAAGAAAATTTGTTCTCGATAACCACCAGAAATGCGAATCTCCAAGTTGTGGTGGTCTGAGCTTCTCCTTATTTGCTTTCGACTTTAATTTTTTTGTAAACTTTGGGCTTTTTAATGGATCAGCAAAATAGTAAACTGATTTTATTAATCTGTTAATGATATGTGTTATTGTTATGTTTTTATTGGTTCAAATTTTTGCTGATGTGTGAGCTTCTTATAACATAACGTTTTTTGCGTTGTTGTTATGGAAGTATAGTTGATAATGAGTCTACACTTTATTCAGTCATATATGTCTCTACCAAACAAACACATAGTTAGAAATTAATTTTTTTTGTTGTTATTTATTATTTGAGTTTCGGTTTGGCAAAAATATAAAACAAAGATTTAATTTTTTGTATTATTTATTATTTGGATTTAGGGATGGTAAAAAATAAAACAATTTTTTATTTGCTGTTATTTATTATTTGGGCTTGGGTTTGACAAAAATAAAATAAAAATTAACAAAGAAAAATATTTGGAGTTTTAATGGGTTTAAGTTAAAAATAATAAAAGTTAGTTGATGATATGTATTAATAAAATGTTTTGATTGGAGTTTTTTTTGCTGAGGTGTCAACTTTAAAAAGTTTGAAAAAGCTGATGTGTCATCTTATGGAGAGACTTGAGTGTTATTGTTGTATTGATTTGTCAAAAGATGGTGTTTCTAAATCCTAAAATTTCTAAGTTTCTCAAACTGTTTTTTTGTATCAAGGAAAAAACATTAGAAGTCAAAGTCAGGTAATACCTAAAAGGTCAATAATTCGATTTTCTAATAATCTAAAAAATATATGACAAACAATATGCACAAGGAAACCAAAGAGATTCATTATGATTGTATTACTTAACCTCCATAAAACATATTATGAAAACTATATATTATATATTATGAAAGAGAAAACTATTATTTAGTCGTTTCATATAAGACATCTTATCTTATATTATATAAGACATATTATTTTTGGTCATTATTCTGGCTCATATATTTCCTACGCACACATGATCAAAATGATATGATGGAAAATTTAAAATGTTGAGAATTTTAGAGACCACAAAGCTGTTTTGGTTAGCTAGGTTGGTTACTCTAAAGACTGAATCTCATTTAGTTACTAACTTCAATATCGCCCAACAAAATTAGTATGTTGTGTTCCCTTTTTTTCAGGTAGCATCATGGTTTTCTAGTTTGAGATTCTAGTTAATGCTTAAGGGTCTTTATGTTGACAGATAGTTGCATCTCGACCATTGACCACATCAGACAACTTGCTGTTTGAGCCACTGAATGAGCTACTAGCCTATGCAAAAAGAAAGCCATCACAGTTACTCGTCCTGGTGAGTGACCAAGATTCATTCAGACCTTCTGTAGACTAAAAGTGTCGGGTGTGATTGTGTCTTGGGGTCACTTACGGTTTTTTCTCAAACTCAGCTTGGACCGTTTGTGGATTCTGAGCATCCAGAGATTAAGAAAGGAACTGTTGATGCCACCTTTGATGAGATATTCCAAGTTGAAGTCCTCACGAAGGTACTGAAAATAGAACAACAGATATATTGAACAATGGCTAACTTTGGAATAAACAAGGTCTTTTGAGTTTCTCAGTTGCAAGATTATGTGGAATTCATGGATTTAGAAGTGTAACCCGGTCCATTTGAATAAGTTTAAATGAATTGATTTGACTACATATGTCATCAAAGTGCATTTACCTTTTCGGTCACTAGTCTTGAGAGAACTACAAAGTTTAGCGTGCTTGAGTTAGAGTAGGATTAGGATGGGTGACATTCCGTAAAATATTATGCGGAACTGTGATAACTCAGTTGGGCTTAAAAAAAAATAGTGCACCGGCTATCAAACAGGAATGGGCCCACGGGCCCGAAAGAGGATGTGGGTGTGCTCACCGGTAGGGGCGGTCGGGGGCGTTACAAATGGTATCAAAATTTGGGAAGTAAAATTGGTTCTGTCCCAGAAGACTGTCTTAGGGTTCAGAGGGTTATGGCTCACACCGTCCGGATCAAAATTCGGGGGCAAATTCCTGTTTAGTAGGGGAGAATTGTAATCATCCGGACTGGCCTGTTTAAATAATTCAAATGAATTGATTTGGCTACCTATGTCATCAAAGTGCACTTACATTTTCGGTCACTGGTTTTAGAAGAATATCAGAATAAAACGTATTTGAATTGGAGTAGAACTAGGATTGATGACCTTTCGGTAAGTACTCTGCAGAACAGTGTGAAAGAGACTAAAACACGGAGAAAGGTCATGAGTTTATTGCAGAATCTGTAAATAAGTCGATCGAACCTCGCAGAAAAATAATGCACCAGCGGTCAAACAAGAGTGGAGCCCACAAATCCGAGATACAACGTAGTGCTCACCGGTAAAAGCGGTCGGGAGCGTTACAAGAACTACAAGTGGTTCTGGTGCCATCCACCCGCGACGCTAATCATGAATTCATATTCCCACTGGTGCTCTATTCTTTTACTCTCAAACTCTCTCTTCTCACTTTTACGCATTTCTCCTCTGTTTTTTTTTTTGACGTGACAAGTCTCCCCTTGTGTTAGCAGCCTCGTTTCGACATTCACATACCTGATCTCGAACATCAGGTACTTGCTTTTTCTTATTAACCAGTCTTCATTTCATAACTCAACTCTCCGTGAACATGCGCATATACTAACTACATTCTCTTCTCTTTCTCCTCCCATACATACAGTTGACCAGTCTGTCAAACCCGGGGACCTTCGAGGCAAACCAGGTAATAAAATTCACCGTGACAGTTCTCTTCTGAGAAGCCATATTCTCTCTACTCTCAAAGTCCTTAAAACATAAACATAATTCTCAGGTGAAGGTAGGTTGCTGCACAGTGGATGTACTAAAACACTTGAGTGGGGAGGAGATGTCGAAAAATCCAAGTGGAGTCCCCATTGATCGCATGTCCAGACTCGCTAGCCATCTCCTTCGTCAGCGAAGGTACAGCACTGTAACTTTCTGTCTCAACTATATTCTCAAATACCAAACACTAAAAAAAAGTGTATTGTAAAATGAAACAGCTTCTATCCTCTGTATCCACCTCCCGAGAGCCTTCCTTATGATTCCTCGCTCGCTCCTAAAGCTCTACAGATTTCATCAATCCCGGATATTCTCCTGCTTCCATCAGACATGAGGTACTTCGTGAAGGTAAGTCCGTACGTTAATATTGGCATCACCAAATTGAGAAGCTAAGAGAAGTTGTGTTATGATGTAAGTTGCTGAATATTTCTTCCTGAATGTTGTCATGTGTGAACGTTTTGTCTCTTGGGTAAGGTGAAGATGCAGCCAAGTGTGTGTGTGTAAACCCTGGAAGACTTGCGAAAGGAGAAGGTGCAGGTACTTTTTTCGAGCTTACCTATAAAGGCGGTCCAGAATCGATGCACGCTTCCATCATCTCTATTTAAAACAGAACATGTGCAATGTTTGGTAACTCTCTGTTACATTCTAAAAGATTGGGGTTTTTCTGTTAGAAACACCACAGTTTAGGGGGTTTATTTGTAACTATTGTTTTATATATATTACTAGTTTTTTACCTCTTTCTTATGTGAGACGGACGATCTCACAGAGACATCGAGATTCGAGAAGTAAAGGGTTCTAGGGTTTTATAGTAAACATGGTGGAATCCGAACCTTCTCCAAAAATTCCAAAAATTGAAAGCGGCGAAGACAGAATTAGTGCGTTGTCCGACGATTTACTCATAGAAATACTATTGCTTGTTCCGACAAAAGATGCAGTGTCCACCACGTTTTTATCTAAACGGTGGCGATTTGTCTGTAGAAAGTTGCCTAGGCTTGAATACAGAGAAACTGACGTAAAAAGCAAGAGTGTTTGGTGGTTTCTGGACGAATCAATGCGACTTCACAATTTGTCTTCATTACAAAAGTTGTGTATTAAACTCGGTCCACGGTGTCCCGTCGATGTTGATGTTGTAGAGTGGGTTGCAAAAGCAGTTGATGGTTCCGTGCTCCATAAGCTAAAGTTCAGGCTCCTCTGGGAAAGCGAGCCGGTCACAATGCCAAATAGCCTTTACACTTGCAAAACGCTCACCAAATTGACTCTCTCCTACAAGATTCTTGTGGATGTTCCTTGTCTTGTCTATCTCCCATCACTTAACCGGCTTGATCTTCAATACGTTGTGTACAAAGACGAAGATTCTCATGTCAGGCTTTTATCAGGTTGCCCGGTTCTCAAATATCTTGATGTGCTTCGAGATGATGATGACGATGATCATGTGATGAAGTTCACTGTGAAAGTGCCTTCTTTACTGGAATTAACGTATGCAACTGGTGTTTTAAGTCAAAGAGACGGTAATGATCGATCTTTGGTTATAGACACCCCGAGTTTAACGTATTTAGACATCTTTGACTATTCGGGGCACTCTTGCTCGATTGAGTACATGCCTCGTCTTACGAGGGCATGGATGAATGCTTCGATTCACCCTGGTGAAAAATTTCTGAAATCTCTTTCTACGATCAAGTATCTTACGCTAACTCGACTTCATACACTGGTTCCATGGTGTAACGTCGTTTTCTCTCTACTTGAAGAGTGTAGCTTATGTCCATTTCGCGCGGGCTGGTGTGAATCACTTGGGGTTTTACTCTCTAATTGTCCTAAACTAAAAGTTTTGATGGTCGACTCCACATGTGAGGATCATGCTTCGGTACTATGGAACCAACCGCGTTCTGTTTCCGAATGCTTGTCGTCTCATCTCGAGATCTTTAGATGGCAAGGGTATGCGGGAAGAAAATATCAAAAAAAAGTCATAAGATACATTCTTAAAAACTCCAAGTGTTTGAAGAAGGCGGAAATTTCGCTGAAATCAATCGGGAAACTTGAAGAGGAACAGAAGAAGAAGATGATTGAGAAGTTACAATCTATGTATAGGGTTTCAACATCTATTTTGCTGGCCGGTCCAAGGTTTTAGGATGTCCTAAATTAGATGGAAAAAATTGCGGAACCTTTTCATATGTTTTCATTAATGTCAGCCTTTTTTATTATATTGGACAACTCTCCTAATTTCGCATAATGTTCAATAATTGTTGTCTATTTGCCAAAAGATGATGTTTCTTAATCCTAAAATTTGCAAGTTTCTCAAACTTTTTTCTAGTATCAAAGAGAAAACATTAGAAGTCAAAGGTCAGATAATGTAAAAGTATCACTAGATTTTGGACTCGCGCACTTGAACGGATTTCTTTTTATAAAATATTTTTGGATCATAGCAAAAATCAGTTTATAGTAACTTTTTGTTCAAAAGAAAAATTAGCTTATATTATTAAATATAAAATTGTGGTCCAACGGAGATTTTTTATTAGATTATATAAACTATTTTAACATTATGGTTTTATGTTCTTAAAATTATTTAGGCTTGATTTTATAAAAAAATATTTTGATTACCGGATTTTTTGTTAAGTTTTGTAACAAATATTTTAAAATATTATATTTTATAATGCAAGAGAGATTTTATTTGTTTGTAATTAAGATTCTTAGGCTTTGTTAGTTTTTGCCTCCAAATACTATTTGGATGCAAATGCTCACAAATATTGTTCTTTTAAATATTTTTAAATCAGTATATGAAGATTTTATCTGAATATAAATTCTATAATATCTCAAATAATATGCTAAAAAATAAAGATTTGATGCAGCATTTAAATCTCAAAAATTAACAGATAAAAGTATTATTTAATTTAAACCACAAAATCAAGTTTTTTTTTGTAAAAACCATTTTTTCTATCGAAATAAAAAGTCGCATTTCCTGCAAAATCATAAAATCACGTTCTTGTACAAAAACCGAAAATTCTGGTGGAAACTGTAGAAATATCATTTTTTCATTAAACTGTATTTTCCTGCCAAAACTGTAAACCCATATTTTTTAACAAAACCAAAAATTATTCTTTCCCCCAACATCATAAAATCATATTCTAGGGCTAAATTTTTAAAATTAAGTAGTTTTTGTCAAACTTGCAAAATTGCATTTTGTCGTCGAACCTGCAAACATGCATTTTCAATAAAATTCATAAAACCACATATTCCACCAAAACCTATAAACCCGCAAAAACATGTAAACCTCGTAAAATCCGCAAAATCACATTTCCCGCCAAATCCAGAAAAACCCATGTTTTTCCATAATTTTATAAAATCTATAAAATTGTATTTTACGACCAAATTTCTAAACTCATGTGTTTGTGCCAACTCACAAACCCGCATTTTCTCGTTAAAACCTGTAAAACCCATAAAATCCACAAAATTACGTTATTCGCATTTCGCAAATTCGTATTTTTCCATAAACCCGTATAATCTGCAAAATCATGATTTACGACCAAATTTTAAAAACTATGTGTTTCTGCTAAATATACAAAAGCACATTTGTTGTCAAACCGGTATTTTCTCGGAAAACTATATTTTCTGCTAAAATTATAAAACCCGCTAAAATTTATAAAACCCGTAAAATCTACAAAATTGTGTTTGTCAAATCTACAAACCCATAATTTCCCGTAAAAAATCATTAACAAACCAGAAAAACTAAAATATTTACATAATTTTTTTTTCATAGTATGTATATATGAAACCAAAAAATAATGATTATATATTCATCATTGACTATAAATTGTCACATTTTCGTAAATACCATAATAATTTTTAAATTTTTTAATGTAATTCTTTTCTTTTAATACTATAGAGAATAAATTGATTATAATATAATATATATTTAATTTATCATATAATATATATAATTATATTAGTTATGCATGCCATATATATGTGGCAGTTATGTTAAGATATTATGAAATATTTTAAAATAATTTTAAAAGTAAATTAATTTGAATTTTATTAGTATCAGATATGATTTATTGGTATTATTTGTTAACAAACTAATATAATATAATTTAATTTAATGTATTTGTTAACAGTTTAATGATAAGACTAAATTACCTTTAATGAATCTATAGATTTTTAATGGTATATATTATAAATAACACATTAACTAAAGGTTAATTTAAAAATAGGTTTCTCTTTTAATAGTATAGATATGACAAACAATATGCACAAGAAAACCAAAGAGATTCATTATGATCGTATAATTTAACCTGTATAAAATATCAATAATTATTATAAAATACTAGATGAGTACTTGCGCGATGCGCAGATTTTTGTTTTAAAATATAATTTGTTAGAAAATTAGTTACAATGTATTTGATTGTATCTTAAATATTTTTCCATGAACAATAGTAATAGTTTTTGGTTTTGTTATATATGCATCATATTATTTTAACTTCATGCTGCAACACTTCTTGACTATATTTTCCAAATGTGTTACAACTAAACAAATATATAATGTTAAAAAAAAATTATATAAAAGATGGCCAACGTTTTCCAGTTGAGTGTCATGTTAGCATTGGAGAGAGTGATATATATCCTTTTAATTTTTTGTAATTAATAATTATTATTATGAAGCAATCAAAATAAGACTAATTAATTATTTTCTTTTTAATTGTATACTAATTAAAATCATATCTACTTTACAGAAGCATAATATAATCATGTCAAATGTTTGAAACTCATATTTAATAGATGGATGGTCGATTTCTAAATCAGATCTTATAACTTTATTCTTCTTCAGTTTTTCTTCTCTCACATATGCTAGAAACGAGTCTGGCAGCTACGACAATGACTTCACAATGTCGCTATTTCTCCCATTCTCCAAATCATATCAGCATTTCTTTCATCTATCAAATCATACTCACTGGTTGAGATTTAGGTGGTTGTCAATTTTTTCGATCAGATCACACCTTTAAACATAGTATCTCTGCTTTCAAAAACATAGTACACTTTCAAATATTCATTCATAAGTATACAATAACTTGATTAAAATAATCATTCTTTTGATAATTAATTAAAATTTGGTGCATTATCTCTTTTTAAAGTATAAATAATTCTTTAATTTTAATAAAAAGAAAACATCATTTTCTGCGTTTTTTACTTTTCATATGTCTTTGCATTAAACATTTAAACATTGATATTATCACATTAGCCACATTCACATGTATATCTCAAACCTTCAAACTTCGTACCATAATCATATATATTATTATTAAGAAGTTATAGGGCAGATATGATACAGTAGTAAGACCCAAATACAAAGGCTTAAAACATCAAACTCAAGCCTAATTACAACTTAAACTCCATAGCATTTGGTGTTACTGTAATTGCACATCTTATCAATGCATCTGTCTCTAGCATCCGGGACAAAACTTCACCACTTCATAGCTTCAACGTTTAGAGAATTCATCTTTGCAGTGCGATTGCATATCTTTTTCAAACTATTTCGAGAACCACCATATCTCATGAATAGATCCATGGTTAGAAAATCCTTCTTTCCTACAAAGTTGCCACCATTCATCAAATATAATGATGTGTCTCCCTCTGCCATAAAAGACTTTTTAACTTAAGAAAGAAAATTTTCCGATCAAAATGAGTAGATGAAAAAATAAAGAAGTAGTATTGAAACTTTCCAGTGGATCTAACCTTAATCAGAAGATTTAGAGAGAGCAAGGAAAAAAAAAGATTTGAAAAGAAAAATAACATAATTAAACGAAATAAAGTTGGAGAAAATGTCAAACAAGTTAGAGATTTTTCCAAACAAAAATACAGACAAAACAAAAAAAAAAAGCGAAAACATAAAATCCAAAATATATCTTAATGGGGTTTCTTTGATAAAAAAAATCGTAAAGGGATTTCTATTTGCTAAACATTTTGTTTATATTTTTAAACTTCTGTTAATATAATTTTTTGATATTGTAAATAAACAAAATATTTCTTTCTTTGTCTATGTGTGGAATTACTTTTTGGACTGAGCCCCCTCTCTCTCTCTCTCTATTCTCTTATAGAATAAGAGACAATTTCCGGCGAGGCTTGATTTGTTTTGTATATAATTTCCGCTAAGACAAATCTATAGTTTCCGCTTAGTCATATTTTCTATTTTCGTTTTGTCGGATAATTTTGTTGTGTTTTGTTTTTCTCTAACTCTTTTCGCTTTTATAATCCAATTTCTGTCGGATTTTTGTTTCAAACTTCTCTTCCTCTCTTGGTCATGATCTCCTTTTAAGAACATAAATATTTACCAAGAAAAGATTCAACAGAGTTGAATGATGAAGGGTCTGTTTCCTTCTCACATTTAGTCTTTTCTATTTTTCAATACCGATAGTAGAAGGAATTCTGAAGCATCTGCCTTCGGATTTTGTGAAAGTACCTTTTTCGGGAATCAGAGTAGGCGCCTCAGATTTAACAGATTCCATGATGAATCGCAAATCTTTTAGTGTTCCGATGAGGCTTCACGGTGTTTCTTGAACCGGCGGTGCTTCAGCTCATCTCAGCCTTTTGCTATCTACGTATGAGATACATGTTGCGAGTTTATATTAGTTTATTATTTTACTTTCATGTGTTTTGTTGTTAAAGTGTAAGTAAAAAAATAATAATATTGAGCTTCAATTCTTATGTAGCTGTCCATATTGGATTTTTTTAATAAAAAATTTTGATGATAAAAAAGAAAAAGAATTGTTTATGTGTCAAATATTGAGATGAAGTACATTAATAAAATATTTTAGTTGGTTTAATATTTTGTTGATGTGTCAGCTTCTAATAACATAAAAAAGCTGAATTGTCAACACATGGAGAGGCATTTGTCTTATTATAGTGTTGAAAAATATTTCAGCATCAAAAAGATATTAAAAAAAGATAATATTGCATTGAAGATACCTAAGAAAGAAAAAGATGAATGTGAGGATCCAAATTGTGAAAATAATTCTTCTATGAAGATATAAGGAAAGACAAATAGATTAGTTAAAAAGAATGAATTAAAATTAAAAAAGATAGACAACTTGTGGAAAAAAAACAACAATAATCAGAAGAGCATAAAAAAAATTGATG